CAAAAAAAAATTTCAAGATCGCAGTTTGTAAAAGCCGAAACTTTGCGGAACCTAGCCTAGATCTCGTTCATAATACTCTTCTGACATATCCTACTTACCATAGATCGACAGATATATACAAAAAAAAAAAAAGGAAGTAGTCCTCTTTTATTTTATCTGTTGATTAGGGCTGGAGGAAAGATTGTTGGGTTGGTTACCTACCTCCGTTTTCCCTCCCACCCACCCCTTTGCATGCATTTCCAGCTTGGTACAGTGCCACGTCAGCAACGGTCACCCGTCAGTGCCATGTCAACAGTGACACGTCAGCAAGGGTGACACGTCAGTGCCACATCATCAGTGATACGTCAGCAACGGTGACACGTCAGTGCCACATCACAGTGCCACGTCAGCAGTGCCACATAAGCAGTGCCACGTCAGCAGTGCCACATCAGACACAGTGCCACGTCAGACACAGTGCCACGTAAGCAGTGCCACGTCAGACAGTGCCAAGTCAGCNAGCAGTGCCACGTCAGCAGTGCCACATCAGACACAGTGCCACGTCAGACACAGTGCCACGTAAGCAGTGCCACGTCAGACAGTGCCAAGTCAGCAGTGCCATGTCAGACAGTGCCACGTCAGCAGTGCCACGTCAGCAGTGCCACATCAGCAGTGCCGCGTCAGCAACATGACGGGCCTGCCAGGCCAACTGGCCAATGAGCCCATTGCCGACTACAAAAAGCGCGTCCATGCTCAGCTCGCTGCAATCGAGGCTGAGGAACAACACCAGCTGGCAGTCAAGGCTGCCCACCTACAGGCTGACGAAGCGGCAACAGCAGAGAAGCTGCGGCTACAGGCCGAAGCAGACGCAGAGGCCCAGGCTCGCCGCAAGGAAGCCCAGGCTCTGCTGCAGCGGCATGAAGCGAACAGCATCGAGAAACTCAAGTACTGGCACTTTGAACCGAACGGCGACAAGCCAACACTGGAAGAGCATCATAAGGAGTTCATGGCCAAGCTCGTGAGCAGGCTGGTTTACACGTGTAACCACCTACAGTCCGAGCTGGCAAACCTTCAGCGGGCCGTGCGGTATCAGAAGACTCAGCACGAGGATGCCACACGGGCACTGGACGCCCGCGTACTGGACCTGGAACAGGCTGTACCAGGACCAGCTGCTGGGGCTTCCAGCAGTGCATCCTCTAGCCGCCAACTGGAGGAACGCGTTGACCACGTAGTGGCAATGCTAGGAGACATAAGTGCCTTCACAGAGCCGGCCACCATCAGCCAGCGTTTCGAGTTGCTGGACTCCAAGATCAGCCAGCAACAGCAGACCGACCACAGCCACAGCAACAGCTCGGCGAGGCCATACAAGATGCCGACGTTCCGGATCGAGAAATTTGATGACTACACACATCAAGACCCGGTCGTCTGGTGGCAAGGATTTACAACGGAGTTCGGGATTCACGAAGTCCATGACCATGTGTTCATCAGTGCTCTGTTCATCAACACCAAGGGAGGATGTCGGATCTGGCTCAGCCACATGGCAACCATCCACGGCGTCCAGGTTTCAGACCTGTACAAGGTCTCCTGGGAGGACATGACAAAGGAATGGAAGAAGCGGTTCATCGTCGACGACGCCCCGGCACTCGCCGTCAACCGCATCTTCACGATGGCTCAAGGGAGCACACCGACACGTGACTGGCTCACGGATTGGCAGAAAATCGTGGCAACGCCCAATTTGGACTTGTCATTTCCGCATCTGCGGCGTGAGTTCTACAACAGGTCATGCGCCGCTCTCAGCCTCGCACTGGGTGATCGCGAGCAGTACAACACTTTCGCAGAGATCATCAACAAGGCAAGAGAGCTCATCAAGACTAACAGGCCGGCTGCACACGAGAAGTCCACGTGGCAGCCAACCTATGTGGAGAAGGTACGAACTGGTCCGCGACAGCAGTAGTTCGCTGCAGTCCAGTCGGACAGTGGAGATAACCCAACAGCCACTCCAGCATCAAGTGACGGAGATCAGGTGGTTGCTGTCCAGCCGCGAAGCAACAACAAGTCCCGCAACAATGGGAAGGCGAAATCCGCATCGCAAGCAGGAAATGGACAGCCAGTACAAGTTCCATGGGTCAAGCTTGGCTTGACCGAGGCGGAGTACAAGGTCCGCGGCCGCTACGGCAGCTGCTATTGGTGCAACAGCACCAAGCACAAGACCTCCCTGTGCCAAGATCAGGGCAAGGAGGATGTGCGACCCCGCCTCAGCTCGGGAAACTGAGCTCCGCGGAAGGTGAGGCGACTCCACCTTCTACTCCGCCAGATTCGGCCGCCTTGCTAGCGGCCTCCTGCACATCTGGGGAGGATGCGACTGTCGCAAGTCCTCGGTATACTTACGAGGATTATGCTGTCCACTTGGTTCCACCGCTGGACCAACCGCTCCACGTGCAACAGTCCACCGCATGCA